TGGCTCAAGGAGGCACATGGTCTCAGTGCTATAACCAACAAAAAGGCCATCAACAAGAGAGCCCAGAAGGGCAAAAACGGACCCAGAAGTGGGAATATCTGCCCTATATTTGGGTCATGATGAGGTGGTTCCAAAGGCATTCCTCAATGATTGACAAGTGAGGTCATTTTGATTGATACCTGGCCGGTGTATAACTCTACCTAGGAACTATATTTTTTGGATGCAGTGTCCTCTTATCCCATGGTTTATGGAAGTTGTACTCTCTGATGTAGTTTAAAAGCTCTGGGTACTAGTTCGAAGCATATATGGAGGGGATATTTCTCCCCCAAACAATAATTATGCATTAGAGCAACAGTAGCTACTAATATTCTGTCTAGAACTGATATTGATTTCTGTGGTAAGGGTATGTTCTAGTCACCTCCTCTTCACCCCCTTGGTGAGGGAGGGATCCTCAACCTAAATAGTATAAGATGGCTGAAAACATGACACTATGCAGATGAGACTGACAGCAGTTTCTTAGTACATATACTCACAGCCCAAGGGAGGAGAACTTTCAAATGGGAGTTACACTGGGGAACAGAGTGAACAAGCAGAGTCTTGTAGGGGGCAGGCTTGTGGCAGCAGAATGATGAGGTGAACCCCCTGGTTCCTGCAGAAAGATGTGATTCCTTGCTTGAATAATGTTGAAGTCTGGTAGGGAAGTGAAAGCTGTTAGGTTGGGGACCGAATAGAGCGCAGCTGGTCTATCTAGTAGGGAAACAAACCAGATGGGGAGAATTTCCAGCTGGGTGGGAAGCACATCTGATGAGGGCAGGAAAACATGTGGTTAAGCCTTGAGGGCCCTGTGAAGATTGAAGACATGAAGACAGCATGTGAAATTTTGGGTCTTACAATACAGGTCATAATATGGGACAGAAATAAAGTATATTCCTCTTTCATATTAGCAACTTTGTGCAGTTTATAGTATCACAGCATGTGTAGGTCACCATATGTTTCTCAATTCAATTTCAAAAGCCTTAAATTTAGTGTAAATGACTCCAAGACTCTCACAATAGGTTGAATGTCAATCCCATGATTTAGGTAAAAACATTGTCTTAGGTATTTAGAGGATATTTAGGGTAAGCTATTTCAAAGACTGCTGTTCAGGCATTTTTAAACTGTTGAGAAGATGTTAAGGAAAGTCATAAAAGTGGTAGTTCCATTAGCATCAACGAGGGCTATCGGGGTGCAGTTGTCGTAAGAGTAAGAGGATGAGGATGCTGCTGGGTGATGCTTCGCTTTGCCTCTTTTTGCCTTTACTCTTTAATCTACAAAATACAAGAACAAGTCTAGATAATTCTTTAGTCCTTTTGTTTCCTAAATGATCATAATAATTTAAGACAAATAGGAACACTTTATTTAGTATCTATTAGGGCTAATATCCCAGAGTAAATACCTGTTTGCATGTCTCCCATACTAATATAGGAATCTTTTATTTGAGCAACTTGGAATGTCTATTTCCTGGTGCGTGAAAATTTCTTAAATGATTTTTAAATGAACAAATAAATCTATCTGAACTAGAAGTATTTGGGAAACGTTTGAACAAGTCCAAATATTTTATGTGTTCTATTATCTCAATGGTCTCATTACTAACTAGCTGGTTATACTATTAAACTATTTAGCTAGGGTTCACTGTGAGTATTAACAAATGGCAATTACTGATCCCAGACTCTTTATGTGGCACATTTTTTCTCATAGTGTTAACCTTCCTATCCACCTAAGATCTGGAGCAGTTTAGTTAGTTCCATTCTAGACCTAAAGTGTTCTCTTTAGCTCCTTTTTCAAGGATGCTCCTGATTTCAATCAGCTACTAGAAATGTCAGATAAAAAATGGCACAAATGTGAATTACGACGATAAAAGTTTATAAGCTACTAAAATAAAGTTATAGTACCTAAGAGCTGAGTCAACTGACAAAGTTAAATGGAACATTTTACAACCAGTCCTAGGATAATGATTTTAAAAATGGCACATAGAACATGAAGAAATATCTGACAAGAAATGGGCCCAAGATCAAGCTCAGGGAGGCTACGTGATTTTGTATGAACCACCTCAAAAGTAAGTATGGGGAGCAGATAATCTAATGTTTATGGAGTGCCTCCTCTGTGTCTAACCATTGACATCTATTATCTCTTTTACTTCCCCTAACAGCTCAGTGAGAGTGGTATTGTTGTTAATTTAGAGAATCAAGGCTAAAGTGGTCCAGTTGGGCAAATGCCCAACAACAAAACTATTAAATAATAGAGATAATATTTGACTTCAAAAGTCTCTCTGACTCCAAAGCCCATGCTCTTTCTATATCTTTCTGTACCCAATGCTATGTCTTTGCATAGACAATCTCTACATAATAAAGCAAATTTTAGGTTTCATAATGAATCTCTTTTTCCAACCTGATGCTAGTGTTTATTCCATGCTGTCAACTCAGGCGATGATTATTTTTACTTGGAAGAGCACCATATAAATCAGCTACACAGAGAACGTTAAATTATAGTTAAATAAGTAAAAAAATCTAGTACTAGAATGAAAATCAGCATTAGTAAGAAAACTGAACTCTAAAAATGGTATTTATGAAGGAATGTAAGAGTGTTATCAAGAATCTGAATAGGTGATATGGCAATCTTTCATTTTATTTTTAGAATAATTCCACTCACAAAATGTTTTGTTTTACTCATAAATTTCCACTGCCTTTCTAGAATCTTTCTATTAAGACATTCTTCTGTCACCCCACATGCCCAATACTAAGTCACAGTGCTTCTCATCTGTGCCCACCACAGATTCCCAGTGACAGACACAAGCACACTGGCACATCCAGGGATATGTGGTGCTGTCTCCTGATAGGCTGGTATTTGCTGTAATTGCACAATTTCTTAGAAATATTATGTTTTACCTTTAAAGATCATACAAAATTTATATTCTTCTTCCTCATCTGACTTTGTTATAATATAAAAATAGTCTTTTCAATTACTTATTATGAACCAAAATTCATGCTCCAAGAAGAATTAATGTCATGTTAATTCTAAGGCTTCACATACTCCGTGCAAACTCCTCTTACTCTAGCCAGAGAAACATGGTGATAAAATGGTATAATCATATGACATGCAAAATGCTGATGTGAAATGAAAAGGGCAGAAATATGATTGGGATATTAATTCAAGAGAAATAAAAAAAATAGGACTGTTTGAATAGGCTTAGCAGATGGGGTAGCTCTTCCTGAAAATATGCGAGATGTTATCTCACGTTTCCTTGACTTCCGCTCCAACTCCGCCCCCCCACATTCAAGAACAATCAAAATTTTAATTTCTACACACACACACACACACACGGAGGGCTACAAAATACCCAATAGCCAGGCAGAGAGGAAATCATCCAGTGAAAATGCTCCTAAATATCAGATGAAGGCATCATGTCAATATAGCAATAAAATCATAAATTTCTATTGTAATGGAACACAAATTGATAAAATGGGGAAGTAGAACTTACAAAATAGCTTTAAACTCAATACCACATTTCATTTATAGGTCCTAGACTATAATGGACACAAGCTAATTTTCATGGTTGATCCATAATAATAGTCATTGAGAAGTTAAATGACAGAGGAGAAACAGCTTTAAATGGGAAGTGGCACAATTAATCACAGCTGTCATACTTATGCACTTGCTGACTATCAACCTTGAACAGAGCATTTAATTCAAATCCCATTTAAAAGTATGTACTGTCAAAGGAGAGGCCAAGAACCATTTTCTAGTTCAAGAATCAACCCACAAGCCATGTGCCAAAGATGGCACTGAAAATCAAGTCTATTGGCACATAGACTGATTACTCTGATCTTACACTCCTTTTCACAACCCATTGTCGGAGGTGCTCCTATAAAAAAGCAAGAAAGTGCCAAAACATAATGCATAACATTTTTTGGAAATATTCTGCTCATTCAGAACTGCAACTGAATTTAAGTTCTCTCTGAAGAGATTGTTGCCTTTAAAAAATTTTTTAAACATTCTGTAATACCATCTGTAATTATTTATTAATACTAAGATCCCACTGCTGATTTTAAAAAGTATTACATAAAAATAAGTGTTGTATATATAACACATTATATCAAATAATATCTCAAAACTCACTAAAGAAAAATTGAATGTGTTTAGAGAGAGATAATATAGATTAATAGAGAGAGAGAGAGAGAGAGAGAGAGATTTTGGATATTTAAAGAGAGAGAGTTATAGCAAAAATCCAAAGCAAAAGTTAAATTTAGAAGCAAGGTAAAAACAATTACTTTGAATCCTAAATAGTTTTATATACACTCATGTAATAGTTGCATATATACCAATTGGTATATATAAAAGGAAGTGAGGATCTTATTTAGAAGTATTAAATCAAAGAAATCATTCATCAGTTCAAAAGAATATCTTCAAGTCACCAGAGATTGCAAGTAACCTGATCAATAGGGTCTTTGATATTATAATAAAGTAACACTGGATTTACCTAAATTGCCAAAATAATGTAATATCTGGTATTTACACATATTACATCACTAACTTTATAATTAGCTTATGCATAAGACTACCTGGACATGACAAGTATTTTTCATTCATTCAATGCATGTTTATTGAACAGTCCCTACATGCATTGTTCTAGATACTAGAAATATAAGAATGAATAAGACAAACATGGTTCCTGAAAATTAATAGGATAATCAGGGTTACTTTTACAGCCCTGTTCTTCTGAAACTTAAATTGTGTTATGTAAATTAAGTTTTCCTGACCTTCAAAATATTTGGAGCGTTTTGCTTGTCATTTTACTGTTATTTACAGAATTAAATAAATTTTGACAATGAGTTTCAGATGAGCTTTTTCTGCTGTGTAGATATTATTGAAGCGAATAAAGCTCTATGAAATGTGGAATGATAAAATATTCACAGAAACTTACAACTCTGCAGTTGAATAACAATTACATTTGTTCCAAACAGGCAATTGGTTTCCAAACACATTAAACAAAGGCAATTTAGAAAGCTTCTTCTTCTTCTTGGCATCGTTAACATTGTTGAACATCCTGGGATTCTGGAGTGTTTCACAAAGGTAAGTACGTGTGTGGTAGGATGAACAATTTCTGAGTTCATGAAATATTGATCTCAAAACCATCACTGAGCCAACAGCATTCCTGTACACCATAACTGGACAAATTAGCATATTGGAGAAATTTAATAGGTTATTCAGAGCAAAACTTTTGATGTAGGCTTCATTTTTTCCATCGACCCTTATAATAAAACAGTGCTTTACCTGATTCTAAAACATGTTCTAAAGCAAGATTTTTTTTCTCCACTATGTAGTACCACTTTAGAATTAGAAATAACCATTTTGGTAATAATAATGAATGAATCATTATCATTAAAAACAAATATCATTAAATAAATAGCTAGAAATCTAATGATGCTTAAGATTTAGATTCCATTCAGGACTTTAAATCAGCAGTGATCATTTCAAGGTCAATAACAAACTGGGCAAAATCATTTAGCCAGTCACCTGAGACCATTCAATGACTTAATATGTTTCATCTACCATTTATCCATTGCAGTGTACCACTCTCTCTCAATGACATATTCTTGGATGGCTGTGTACTTTTGAGCAAACTGTCTAACCTCTCTGATCCTCTGTTTTCACACATGTGAAAATAAAGACAATAATACCAACCTCTTGTGGGCTTTGAGGAGATGAATTCTGATAAAGGGCCAGCATATCTACCACACAGTGGGAATGAAACAGATCTTCATTTTCCTCTCTTCTCTCCATTCATTTATCTGTTTAGTCATATTTATCCCATCCATTGCCACTTCTCCTTTGCTCAAATCATTCTTTTATTCATCTAATAAATTTCTTTTGGACCATCAGTTATGTGATAGGTACTGTAGTCAACTAGAAGGATATAAATTCTGTAAGTCAATAATGTATAGTGCCACTTATGCTCTTGCTCTCATGGAGCTTATGGTCCAGTATAGGAGAAGGACACTTACATCACAGAATTAACGACAAAATCCAAAGTCTACCTGAATTTAAAATTTTTTAACTTCCAAGTGTGTAAGTTGTCAAACTGACCCTCCACAATATATAATTTCCCTTAAATGTTTCTCATTCTCAGATTGAAACCAAATTAGAAAACCGGTCTTGTAGAAGAATCCAACAACAATGTCCTCAGCTTTGCAGCAAAACAATCAACAAAAACTGGAGCTGAAGGCAAGGCCTCTTTCTCCTCTATCCATTGCTTCCAAACACATAAGTGGTGCCCATCTGCCAATACTCACACATTTGTACTGTTTCTCGATTTTTATTTTTTGTCCCATGGTAAGATTGGACCCTTGTCTTCCATGAAGTAGTTTAAAAGGCAGTCTCTAGAGTCTGTTCCACAACTTAGCTGTATAAACTTCAGGAAGCTATTTAACTTTGCTAAGCCTCAGTTTCTTCATTTGTAAGATGGAAACAATAAGAACAGTAACTGCATCACAAAGTTATTATGAGGATGAGTAAATGTCCTCAAATGTTAGTAATAGTAATAATAATAGCCTCATATTTTGCTTTATGCTCTTTTCTTCCTTTTTTATTCTTATCCTAGACTGATGCTGAGGTATGGCCAAGATAATCATGATTATGGGCTGAATTCAGGTAGAATTAGCACTGTAACCAGAATCTATTAGCTCAGGAGTTTACTCACTCATCTATTCATTCATCCATTCATTCAACCAACATAATAAGCATTGTTCTAGGCACTAGAAAAATAGAATTGAAGAAAGCAAAGTACCAGTCTACACTGTGCTTGAATTAAAATTTAGTGTGATTCTTTCTTAGTGATTGTTAAACAAATGAGTTACTAAAAAGAAGTGGGAGATGATAGAGTGAGATGCAGAAAAGGAGGCGAGGATAAAAATATACAAAGCACCAGAGATTGGAGGAACCGAATATGAGAAGGGACTAAATGATAATACTGGGTTTATTTAAAAATAAATCTAATTTTTTACTATATCTCCATCTCCTGTAAACTATCTTTTGCTTTTTCTGCATACTTTTTGAGGGAGAGCAGGAAGGGAAAAAATTGAATTTCCATGTGTTGAGTAATCCTGTATTTAGACAGTATGATAGACACACACAAATAACCTCTTTTAATCTCTACCCCTTCTCATTACATAGATCTTATCACTGTATGTAAGAAAACTAAAGTAAGAATCTAGGTAAGTAATTTGAGTAAGTTCACACAACTAAAATTCAGAACCAAGTTTGTTTGTCTCTAAAGGCTATAATTTCTCCTATACTCTGCTGCTTCTAAGCACCATAGGAGCCCTCTACCTGCTCTCTGACAACCTCTTAACTCTGGTGGGTAAGGAGGAAACCAGTCTCTTCAATTAAAGTAACTATACCTACCGTCACCTGTTAATCAGACACTCTACAGGAAAAGAATCTATGTCCCATATCAGAAGAAAAGAAAGCCTAGAAAATTTGCCTGCAGAGATTAAGTGGCTAGAACCAACTATATGAGAGCAAAGGAACACATTGCCTTGGGTATCAATTCCCCACTGGGATGAGACAGGCCAAGCCAAAAGAGTCAGACAAGAAATCATATAGAATTTGAGAAAGATCGGTGTCTTCCATGAGCAGTACATGATTCTAATTTATTTCTACAGTGATTGTTATTGTCAGACACTAACGAACAATAAGTATGCCAACAAACAGGAGAAACCACAGAGACAATATTATTGAAACATATTATTTAAGAGTCAGATAGTGTTTGATCACAGTACATACCTAATCACAATCCAATTTTTACCACACCCAAAGGTTCTCAGAGCCAGATAACAGTGGCAAATCTATTAAGAACAGGACAGTCCCGAGTTATTCTTGTCCTCAAGATTTTGAGGACAGTGGATTAATTATGAAACAGCATCCACACCAATACACAGGTGGCCTTAGGTCTGTGTTAGTACTAGAGAACACCCCCACCACCAAGTTTTTATTAGTGTGATGGAATCCTGGTATAAGTCCTAGAACCAAACTACCTTGTCAGGGTCACTGGGATATCATCTGAGTACGGTTATGAATGATCCATGAATGTCAGACCAGACTTAAAACAACCAAGCAACTAAGCAAACAAACAAACAAACAAAAATCCCTGCTCCCTGACTGTTTATATTTGAGTCCTCCTCCATCAAACCTGAAATAGGACCATGGTGACATGTCATACCTGAGGCTCTCCAGGTTGTGAGTAGATAAAATAGACAGAAGAAATATCTTTTACTTGCTGAAAAATATTAGATAAACATCTTTATAGCGCTTAATATATATACACATACCATACTGGATGCTAAAAGAAAAAGATAATATAGATGTTTCCGGGAGTGGTAGCAAAGGGTGTTTGTTTTTATAACAACCCTACTGTCCCTCCAATGTTGTATAACACATCTTAAAAAGTTGACATCTATTATTGTATTTATTGTGTCAATAATACTAGTAGTCTTTTGTGTCTAACCTGCAACAATTATTGAAAGTGACACAAAACAGAGACAAATGACCAGTTATTTATGTACATTCTTCTCTTTCAGCTATTTTTTAGCAAACTATTGAGAAGGTAAAGAAGGTAAAATTAGATTTGGAAATCTTCACAAGTCAAAAATAAATGTCGGATCCTACAGACTTATATGTATTTGATAAAACTGAACTTATAACCCATATTCATTTGTGCATGCAACAAATCTATATTATACATCTGCTGTGGACAAGATACTAGGAATACAGCAGTGAATAAAGCAGTCCGAAATTCCTGTGCCCCTGGAGCTCACTCAAAAGTGTTAAAGAAAATTGTTTGTCTTTAGAGGCAGCATGCTATAGAGAGAGACCAGGATTCTGAGTAGTAACAGGTTCTTATTCCAAACCCAGGCTCTGCCAACTTCTATTGGTATGAACTCCAAGAAAGTTATCTGACCTCTCAAAACTTCAGTTTCCCCATCTGTGAAATGGGGATGATTCCATCCTTCCAGGGTTGTAATAAGAATCAACAAGTTAGGGTGAGTTTAGTGCCCTAGCATGATGCCTGGCACTTAGAAGACATTCAGGGAAACCAGGTTTTTCTTGGGTCAGGGGTAGAGGGCACACCTTCTAGAAATATATTCATGGATTTCTTGTTGTTTTCCACATAGTCTCAGTGCCAAATTTACAAATCCCTAATGTGTCTGATAAACTTTTTGTGAGTGAGTCTTGGCCGCCATGAAATCTGTAAAGTTGTTAGGGTTTCAGACTTCACAGTCTCTGGTTGTCAGACTCACTGCAGGTTGTAAAAGAGCGCCATCTAAAGGTTCTTATGAGACACCTTAATATGCACTAAAATTGTTTTATAAAGACTGTTCCAGTGAGCAGTGCTCTTAAATAATCATCACCATTGTGCCAGTATCTATGGGCCCATGATATAAGGTAGACAAGCACAGGAGGAAAGCAAATGATTTATCAAGTCATCTACATCTGGTCCTAAAAAAACCTTTCTTTCTTTTTTAGATATAGTAATCTAAATCATTTTAATGCCCAGAACATCAGTGGAAGTAATCTTGAAGAAACACTTCTCCTCCATGAACAGTCTCTGAAATTTTATGGCAGTACACAGGAATTTTCTTCGAGTATTGATCTTTGGGAGACAGCCCTATGAAACTGTATTCGATGCCACCTGTCTTATGAGCAAAGTATTCATTGTTTTCTTCAGCTAATACTTTACGTATTTTAGTTTGAGCTAATATGTATGGAAGTGGCTTTATGAATACTATCTGTGTACTTTATTTACAAAGACTAATTATAAGTCCTGTAGTAGACTGTTATGATTTTGCCTTAATATGTTATACATTAGAATTAATAAAGTAATTTCAAAGTCTAGGTGATTACTCTGTGACAACAAAGTGACAGTTTCGTATACATCACAATATTTCACTTTTTACAATGGTTCTGCCATTAAAATCAACATATATGATGGGATTTTTTTTGAGTTTTAATGTGCCATTAAAATCGAAATAACAGTATGTTATATTTGTCCTCTTAATACACTTATTGAGCACTTATTACATGCCAGGCATTGTGATCATATACTACTTATGTCTGAGCAAATAATAAATCTACATATCATTTTACTATATTTGATCTTATTACGCTATCAAGATATGAACTAAGAATATTTTCTCGCAATTAAAAGGCAATGTTACCAAAATAGAGGTATAATTCTTTCTTACCATAGAAAGAATACCTACATGCCGAAGTTGTATAATAAGTATAAATGATGGACTATTAAGGTTAAAGGAAAGAAGAAAATTAAGGAAGGTTAAATGAACGCTAAGAGAAGAGTAAGTGGTCAAATCAAATAGATATGCTTAAAGGGATTCTCTAACCCAAATGACATCTTTAGGTCACCAATGCTACCAGTTCAGATGCATTCAGAAAATTGTCTTCCAAAAGAGATTCTTCCTGTATAAGCAAAGAAATGTGGAAACTCATTAAAAAAGAAAAAGTCAAATAAAACTGATATCCCGTACCTTTGTAGCAGTGCACGTCAAAGTTTAGTTAAAGACCACCTGCTTCAGGCGAATCTTTCTGGCCCCTACCACAGAACTTCTTAACCCAAATCTTTTTCTGTGTGGTTTTAACATACACATTATTCTTATGCTACCTAAAGTTTGAGCCCTACTTCTTTCCCAAACAGTCCATGCTGGATAGGATTAGTGGGTTTATCAGCTGACTGCAAATGATTCTGCAATTAAGCACCTCCCCTGTGTATGCTTAAATTATTTTAGATCTGTAGGATAAAAGATTTATTCATCTTGATTAGGTATGATATGCATTTTTAATTGCAAAAGAGCAGCTGTAAAGCACCAGGTGTTTCTCTTACTCAAACTATTTTTTTGTTTGTTTGCTTATTTTGAGAACAAGTGGAAAGACTAGCTCTACAGACATAAATTCTTGCTCTGTAACTTTTCAAATCCTTCTTTTTTTAAGCATTTGTCCTCTGACAAAATAGTGAGGCCAACCCCTGATATGCCTTAGATGGTTTCTTTGCTGCAAAAGGTTAAATGCCAAGTTTGCAATTTGGGTTTAATGAACACCCAAAAGATCAAGAAACCTTTAAACACCTCACCTCAGTACAAGTGAGAAGCTCTAACAGTCTCTTTCACTGTTAGAAAAAGGGTCTGTCTTATTTTGTTGTTTTTCTTTTCCAAAAAATGAGCCTTCCTCTCCTAATTTCTACACCGTAATAGAAAAAAGTGCTCATTATGCTTTCACTCGTCCTTAGAGATGAAAAGAGATCTACAGAATTATAAAGTTGACCCAAAGCAAACACCGAAGGAGCTTAGAATTCTCACATTGGGGTTGACACTCGTGATTAGCTAAATTGCAGTAACTACACATGCTTCCATTCGGAACAGGATGCGTTCACACAGCAGTTTCTTCTCTAGTGCCTAGCAACATTATCGTTGAGCACCTGGAATAGTTTAGGCATTAAGTGTAATTGGTTTTGCTTTACATAAATCCGTAGCTTTGTAAATAAGCAGAGCATTTCAGCTTCTATATAACACCAATTAACTTAAAGGGATGCGTTGTTTGCAGAAGCCTGCTGGGTCTGTACTGTATTTCTCCAGTAATATGCTCAGCAGCGGGCAAAGTTCTGTGTCCCTGCAGTGTTCCATTTACTCCCAGTCACTTGGTGCCAACGGTCTGTACCCAGCCACTCATTTGCTCCATTTTTCGGTAGTAAAAGATGGGGAAAATGAAGTCTTCCCTAATAGGCACCGTCTGTGCTCTACTTCTGTCCATGATCCAGACCCAAAAGGAAACGTATCTGAGAATGTTTTCTGTGACCCACAAGCACAGGTCTGACCCCCATCTGATTCTGTTCACAACTGACAAGGACATCTTTTTCCTCTTTTTTTTTTTTTCTTGTAACACTTGAATCAAATGCAGCCAAAAGTCACTACTTTGAGCCTGTATACAAAATCAAGAGAACCATATTCTTATTATATGAATTTGCTATAAATATTTCCATCGGAGTGATTTTTTTAATAGCACTAGGAAATCTAGAAGTTGGTAAATTTGTCCAAGCTCTTGCATATTTCCCTTTGCTATCTCTTTGTTTGGCTTAATCCCTTATCTCTCAAATTCCCTTCAGATAATCTTGATTTATAGCATTCATTCATCCTGACCAATCTCTAATTCTCTTGGTTTCTGAGAGTGTTTTATCAACTATCAAAGTAACAGTATCACCAAAAAACAGTTTCCTGTTAATATTGTGTGATTTACAAATTGAAGGAGGGAGAATCACCCTTTCTGAACACTATCAGGATTCCTTATTTTATGAGAACAGAGCTTCAGTGTTAGTAACCGAGCCAGTCTGGCAATGAGCATATATACCACCTCCACTGTGAGAGAAGCTGGAGTACAATGACCTGTCACAGGCTTATGAGTTAAAATAAAACTAAGAGCCAAGCGATGACAGCACACAGGTGCTGCTAAAATTCAGGTCTGCTTGTAGATAACAGAGAAATGAAAGAAACCACACTAATAATAACCACTCATGTCTATGTCACCCTTTACAGTTTACAAGTTGCTGTCACACAAATCATCACATTTGATTAGCACCACGCCTCTGGGAAGGAGGCACATTTTGGCATGCCCGTTTTGTAAATGAGAAAATTGCAACTCCAAGACATTACGTGATTGATCAAGAGTCACAGAGATAGTAGATATCACAGATAGGACTTGAACTTTGGTCTGTTTCTAAAGTGCCAGCTTCTTCTACAAACATCACTCAAAATGTCACCAACACTGGATCATCCCCAACCACTTAGGCAAAACACTCTCTATATCACCCAAAAGGGAACAAGAATAAGAGGAAAGCCCACTTGGGGTTAGAGACCCTGACATAATGGTTAACAAAAAACAAGCATCTTTCTAACATTTCTTCCTGTTCAGTCGGCTTCCTCTGTGAGGCCATGCACTGTCCCCATGTGGATCTTAGCCTGTCAGAAACACCCTCACTGAAAACACCCACCCAGACTGACCACATCTGGGGGCGGGAAGGGTCATCTGAGGGTCAAAAACATCCTTTTCTTCTCCTTTCATCAAATGCTCTGAATGTGCTACAGCAAATTCCAAATTATCTTTAAAAAGAACAATTTGAGAAAAAGAAATTTACCTCTCAAAATATTATTAATAATTGTGAAGACTCCTGTAATACTTGCTAAGTGAAAGACACTGTTCTAAGTGTTTTTGGTATATTAGTCCATCTAATCATCACAGTAACTGAACTAAATACAATTGTTAACTCATTTTACAGATAAGAAACATGAAGCATAGAGGAGTTAATACCTTTCCAAAGGTTATACAGGCACTATGGACAGAGTAAAACTTTAGACCCAGATAGTCTGGCTGTAAAATCTGGGGGGCAGCCCTCTCTACATGACTGCCTCCCAGTGCAGCTATTATCCACAGTATATTTTTATATACTCTCAGGAGGATTCCAGAGAAGAGAATATGTTAGCTCAATAGATTTCAGTCTTTTTCTGTCCCAACACACAAGAATATGACTCCTTCCATCAGGAATTGCTGAATTGAAACAACAGCGATTCTTAACACCTCTAGGTTGTAGTCCCTCTCTCCCCTTTTGTGAATAATTACTGTCTCCTGCTTAAACCCAAAGGTATGACTCTAAAGGCAGAATTGCAGGTTCTGAGGAAGCATGTATGAATACTTTTCCAGTGTTCTTTAAATCATAATGTAAGCCATCTTTTTCTCAAATAAAATAGTCATCATTAGATCAAGATGGGAACCTGAGGTCAACTGGGCTCTCCACTTCCTTAGCATCAATGCAAATATTCCCTGGAATTCCTCCAGGCCTGTTCTCCAGACAGTGTAAAATTGTCAAAGATAATCAAGAACAGGGATGACATGACTCAGTCTCTCTTTCTCTTTCTTTCTCTCTCTCTCTGGCTATGTGTCCCACTAAGGTTGTCTAGAATAAATGTCATTTGACAGCCAAGATCGCATCCCAAAGTGATACACTGTCACTAGTCCACTCAGAGACCTTACTAACTATTAAATAATAATAGCACCCAAACCCTAATCTATCATCCATCTTAGACAGGTTTGAATTCATTTACTGACTGGGAATCAGGCTGCTTCTTAAACCTGCTAAACCACAAGTGACCAAATCTCATATAAATACAGTAATGAGTCAATAGCCTATGACAAGTATCTATTAGCATGGAAGCAGCAAGTCAGGAGCACATTTAACGACATTTATGCAAAGCGCAAGGCAACAGTTCTACCAGGAATAAAATATGGAGAAAAATGGATTCAAGGAGAGACAGAAATTTGGCAAAAATAAGGGGGAGTCACCACAACATCAAAGATACTACTAAGAAAACATACATGTCATCATCACAGACAGTTTTCATTTTCCCAAAACAGTCTCTTAAAGCAAAATGATAAAAAGAGAGAGAGGATATGTTAAATTTTAAAAAATAAGAGAAAGTTCTCTTTCAGAAATGCCAAAGAGAAAGTGTGAGCTTCAAAAGCAAGAGCAGGGAGAGGCCATCTGGAAACACTGACTTCCCATTTTGGCATAGTGCACTGCACACAGTAGGTGCCTCAATTCATATAAAGTGATTA